TCCTAAAGCAAAAGACTAAGTCGTTAAAAAAATCGAAATCTCTTTTTTAAAATAAAAGGTAAAACGAATAAAAGGCGTACAATTATGTTATGGGGGTGTTAATTACTGACGTGAGATTACATAATGATTACAATAGGAATGTAAAAAATAGAAATAAACAAGACGACGTTTTTTTTCCAACTCAAAAGAAATATTGAATTATATACCGTTTTTTTTTATTTGCTCAAGTCAGCATTTCCATCATAGTAACGAAATGCTTTCTTCAAATCAAACTAAAAAAGTAAACTAAACACCAACCAGTGAGTCCCCCCACGACATTGGTCACCGATTAGTACTCTATGATTTACACTCCGACAGACACACCTCAACAAATATCCATCATTGCATTCTTTAAAATTTAGTAGAGAGTCTCTCTCTACTATTCTTATTTTTCACCTTGCTTCGTATTTCAACAAGTTTTTTTTCTCTCTCATTTCCCACGTCATTGCCATCTTGAAGAGAACAAAAGGCGAATATGAGTGTGGTTTTTTTTTTTTAGCTTTCCAGAGTCATAATTTTTCAAATAGGAAACTTTTTAAAAAAAAAGAAAATTATAATCGCCCAAAGAGGTTATTTTCCATTTTGTCCTCAGTATGGATTACGTTAAGGTGGGCACGTGATCAAAACACCATTCTTATGAGTAAATAAATCATCTATAAACTAGAAAATATTACCTGCACTGCGACAGTCTTTATTAACTTAATGTCCCAGTGTTCATTATTTCGTTGTAAAAATTCTACTTGACGATGTCAAAGATTTTGATTAAAAAAAAAAACTGTGCGAAATATGAAGTGAGGTAAAAATCACTTTGCAGCTCAACCATTTTACCATATACCCAATATTATCATATGGATAGAAGTAGTAGAACTACTCTTGAAAAACTAGAAAGAAAAAAAAGCATGAAATGACGAAGAAGAGAAACCTAAACTACTTGTAATACTGTAACAGATGCAACAATCACTCTTCTTCTTTCGACAACAGATAGATTTTTTAAGGCGATATGTTTAAAAAAAACAAAAAAAAACGAGAATAATGGATAATATGAGACCTTTTCGTAGTCATCGTAGATATATATTGTGTATAAGTGTGTTTTAATTTATGTATCAAGCAGAAAGAGAAGCTAAAAAGATGATGACAACCAACAAACACTAGCTCCACAGCAGTAGTGAAGACAGTCGCTTCTCCATGATGATAAGGAGGATCTTTCTTTTCTTTTTTTTTTCACCCCCACGCACCACAGAAAACGGATATATCAAAATTTTTGAATGTCGTATTATTTTAACACCGATGAAGAAGAGAAAATAAAGTAAGGATGAAAGCGAAATGTGGCTAGGCTACATCAGAGTTCACACGAACCGTATCATGATCATCATAATGCAAGGAGAGTGCCGAAAACTGTCTGAAGGGTGTAATTCTGTTATCAAATAAAATAAGCAAGAAGTGTAAGATGATACGATTCACAACTGTCTAATAATACTTACATTGCGACGAAAGAAAAGAAAGACGAGGGAACCTTCCCCACTTGATAATTACTAATATTTTTCTTTTTAAACTTTATTTTATCCACACAAAGATAAAAAAAAATTAAATAAAAATACAAATCTTTTTTTGATGTTTAAGAAAAAAAGAAATTAAATAAATAAAAAAAAAAAAACGGTAATTTCATTGAAATGCCAGGTTGACGAAGTGCTACTTTCTTTCATTTAATTCTTTTTTATGAATTTAAATAGCGATAACGAAATAAAAAAGAGTATGTTTATATAGTTTTACTTTTTATAAACAATTAAAACAGATTTCCAGTTATTTCTATACACAAAGAACAGACTAATCAATGCCATTAATTTACTAAACACATAAAATAATGTAGTGTAATAAAAATGAGTTAAAGATATCAAAATGAACCCTCATTTTGTGATCACTTGCTGGTAGCAGTAGTACACTTTTTTTTCTGCTCAACGTGACTGCCTATTGTGTTCCCAACTATGATGATAAAAGAAATATCTTGACATGATGAGGTCCATACTACTTTGAACTTTGGTGTATTAGTATTTGCGAAAAATTCCTTTTTTATCACCCCGGATCAGTCTTAAAAAGGGATTGGAGAAGTGCATGGGGAAATAACTGAATGTGAAGAATCGTCGCTGGTCTCTAGGTTTATTGTAGACATTTTAGTAGTGTTATGTTATACTCAACAACACTGGCACAGCGCAAATCAAATGGCTGTAGTAATAATTACTGATCTGAGAGGGAGGGGAAAAGAAGACCTAGGTTTTTATCACCCACTCGAATAAGTAAAAGGCTAGTCTTCATTTATGCAAATCTTTCAATACGTCTTCTTAATTAGAGCTTTCTAATTAAATAATAATGATGAATATTCTTAAATGGATTTTTAGTAGCGGTAATTTTCAACGAAAATTGAATTGCAAGAAAATCGTCATGTGTCAAGTCAATTCGGGAATAGTGAGAGAGAGTGAGATTTCTTAAAATATTAAGCTTGTCCCCCTTCCCAAATCATAGTGGCAGTAGTATTAATAATATTGTCTGGACATCACTGCAAATCACTTATGTTTAAAACACCTGAATTATAGACCTTTTTTTTTTTTTTTTTGGCTATTAAAAATACAGGTGAAAATTCTGAAATCATTTGTAAAAAAAAAAAAAAAAAAAAAGTAAAGTCGATCAAAAAGTTCGAATTCTATGGAAATTAAGATTAATCTACAAAAAATCTTTTAGAGAATTATACAAGTTTGCTTTTTTAAAAGACATTTAAATTGAAATTGGCTTTTTTCAATAAACATTAATTTTGATTTTTGAAAGGTGATTGATATTTGATGTGAGCAAATTTTTTAATTAAAAACAACAAAAAAGCATTTTCAATTCAGGAATTAAGACTTTTTTCATTCAACCAACAAAAATAACATTTTTAAAAACTGATAAAATGATTTGAAAAGTGTGACTGACTGGTAATGGTAAAAATTACTGTGCATTGCAGTAATTTTCAAATTTAAATATTTTTTAATAATTTAGTTTCAAATATTCCAATTTTTAAAAAGAAGATAAAAATATTCATTTCAAAAGATAATTAACTTTTGAAAAAATTCAAGGAATGAAAATGCATCAAGTAGTCATCAAACAAGATAGACAATGTGTGTAATAATGCATTTTTTTATCTCATAATGTAGATATCTCTAAAATTTTCATAATAGCAAAAATATAAGTAGTAAAAAATAAAATAGTCTTTTTTTTTTCCAAACAACTAAGGAAACCAACATTTACCATCGAGAAGTAGAGAGAATTTTATTTTTTTTAAATTTATGACATAGGAAAACTAAACAGAATCACTTTTGGTAACATGGTCACGTGATCGTTGAAAACACCTTTTTTTTCCTCTAATTACGTTTTTAGAAATAATGTTCTTTGAAAAATCACAAAAAAAAAAATAAGGTTTTTTTTATTAGTGTATTTATTTTATGGCAATTTGGATTTTTTTGTTAGGATTCATTTTTAAAAATTTATATTCCAAATTCCAATTAGCTCTTTTTTACTCTTACTCTTCTTGTCAACTTCTATAGGAAAAATAATGGATCTTCAGTTTCCATTTTAATAATAATAATAAAATTAAGCATCAAAATGTGTTTAAAATAGGATTTCTTTTGTAAAAGACAGATGTCAAATAGGTAGCACCTACTGCTACTATCTGCCTTCGGCTTCTACATTTTTAAATACTAAAGTCGACAGGAACAACTAACCTGTCTTACCCTCCAATTGTTTCTAAAAAGAAAAGAATTATATATCTACATAAAAGCTACTGAAAGTAGAGTTTATAAGTAACAGTAATGATAAAAATATTAAAAAAAACTCTAGAAACTTAAAATAAAAAACAAATTCAGTTTAACAAGATGATCGTTGATGATAGCAAGTAGAGTTAAGAAATTTTAATGAGCGAAAAGTGAACAAAAAAAAAAAAAAAAAATTACAAATTTACCTAGTTTAAAAAAATTCAATAAATTAATCCAGATATGTAAAGGATTTTCAGTTAATTATTGAACACCTAGTTAACACTAGATGCTTTTTCATAGGAAGAAAAGATTAACATATTTCTGAGATTTTCAAAGAATTAACATCGTCCCTAAAAGTCATCAACACGGAGAAAAATGGTTACAAAGTCGGGGATTATTTTTCCAAACCTGTACATGACACGCGCCAATATAAGCACAAGACAAGGTTTTCACCAGCTAAGAAAATGGTTTAAAATAATCCGCCTATAACTCACTGAACTCTTACTTAATCGTTTATTAAAGATCGAAGACGAATTTCAATCAGTTTGTACCTTTTTTTTATTAAACAAATAAAACGGTTCCCGACTTTGACGATTTTGAAGTTTACATGAACCATCCTTTCCTAATAAACCAACCTTGGGTACTACACGCCCTCAGTAAATCCGTTGAAAATTCTTATTAACCCAAAACTGACAGTAAATAATACGAATTACACACATGGGAGAGTCATTCATAAGCGATAAGATATAAATTGAAAATTCAACAATTTAATTCTTAACAATAAGTCAAGGGAATATATGTCAACAGTTCAAAATGTTTCTCTACCGGAAGTTGATAAACCAAAAACCACTGACAATAATTGAGGAAAGTAGTGAAAATATATTTAGATTTCATACTTAAAACGGTATCAAAACGAGCCGTATATTAACGTTTAAGGGAAAGGGATTAAAAATAAAGCAAGATATACTGGTTATATGTAATAAAACTTAAAGTGTTAAGTTCTTTTGAGGACGAGTATCATTAAAATGCAACTCTTCTTTCCCCCCCTCCTTCTACGACAACTGCAGCTGCCAAGCACTAAAGCTGCGCCCCCTTTTACTTGCCTCTTGCATTCTCCACTATTGTAAATAAAGGAATTATGTAGCTTCTGTTTAAGCTACTTCAATCACCCAAAGAACTCACCTTTGATTGTAGTAAAAGACGCGACATCAAACTCCTTTTTCACAACTTTTTACATGCTTTTTTCGACAACCCTAATTCCATTTTCCATACGAAGGACTACACAAAATGGCGACATAATATCCAATCACTCTAGTCACTTTTTAGCCTTGCTTCGCCTCCCAATAAATTACTGCCGGCGTCTAGGCAGAAGCGACAATTTTTTTGGTTAACGAAAAAATCCTCTGCGAAAATAAAATAAATCGCAATAACAATTATAAACCGTCTTCCCACTCACTTTTACGATTCAGTGCGTCCCGAAATTTGGACCAATGAAAAGCGAGCATTTTTTTTGCTCCGTTCCTGCAGCATGTCGTCGATTTTAGCGTTACGGCAGTATGACAGCAACTCGGATGGTTCTACTGACTCCGATGACAATGTCGACGAAACAAATGTCCATTTGCGTCCTCTGGACAAAACGTCAACAATATCTTCACAAATGGTGGTCGTTGCTGCCCCAGATGTGGTCTCGAAGGTGAGATATGTATCACGTATTTTTGCACTGTTTTTAAAAATCGCCACAACAGGCCATGTGCTCGCCTCTCTTTCTCCAATTTTGTTGTTTATAAACTTCTTTCTTTGTTTACACTACCAAAGTTGTTGGTATATTCCTCAGGTATTATTTTAAAATAGACTATGGGCGATATCTTTATAAAAGAAGTATTTATTATGAATTAAGTTTCCTACCTTCTGGATGTTCAGCTCCATGAAAGATTGCACCACTTTGAAGACGATCATCACCAAACACCTGTGTCTTAAAAATAAAATAAGAAACAATTTCTTTATACAGTATACTCAATAACTTCTAATGACAGTTTTACTAAGATTTTCTTTTAAATTTTATCATGAAAAGATTGCAGTAATTTAATTAGCCTTTTTTTTTTAAAAAGATTGACCTTTCTTTATTGATTGCATAAAAAAGGATATGACTTCTTTTTTTTAAGTAACAGGATTATTTTCAGATAACTTTCTTTAAAAAGCATTTTTTTTTTTATTTTCCAAATCATGCAAATAAATAGTATATTTGTTGTGTATGACTCAATAATTTATCATGCATGTCAATGATTGTTATGAAAATTATTATGATGTCCGAAGGTGAAATAAAAATTAGAAATATCTTGTTGACCAATTTGTACGACTAAGGCTGAAGGTTAAATAATAAAAATTAAATTAATACAGATTATTACAATTACATTATATTCTCTTTTAGATAGTATATTTCTTAATTGTCCAATTAAAAAGGTTTTCAGAGTTTGTCGAAAAAAAAACCTTAAAGTAGTAACTTTTCTGACTGTATTGACTTTTTACACTGTAAAAAAATAAAAAATAATCAATATATCTTTGACTTCTAATTTGGTCAACTGAGTGACAAAATCCGGAATTTCTTTCGTGCCTCTTCGGGGCGTGAGCGATCATGACTCTCCACAACTTCCTATCCTTTAGGTTTGTCTTTTTGCTTTCTCCAGGCCCTGTTGTTGTTATGCCATCCATTTACACAAGCTTGTTAGGTTGGTTACTCGCTGCTTTGTCTGTCCCTCTTACCTTCAGTATGTCCTATGAGTGTCAAATTTGCCAAGCCCACTTTCCTTTTTGCTTCCATTTTCCTTAAACCTTCCTTCCTTCCTCATTTGATGTTCAGTCTATGGTATTCTTAACATCCTTCTATAGAGCCACATTTCTGTTGACTCCAGTTTCTTCATCTGTGGGGATATTGTCCAGCATTCACCTCCATAGATCAACTGACATTGCATAACAATTGAGTACTCTTTTCTTAGTTTTTTGAAGTCATCTTCCACTATTCTAATGTGTCTTTGCGTTTCAGTGTCACATTTTCTATTCTCTCTTAAAACACTGCTCTAATATTTAAATTTTCAGACATGATTAATTTTGGTATTTCCTTTTCGGAACAGGAAAAGGTTTTACAATCCTGAAAGAGGATGTATTCTGAAGCAGTTGTTTTTTTTGGTGGGGGGGGATTTTTTAAAGATGATGGCACACTGGGATAGCAAAATATTAAGAAACAGAAAAATTTCATTAGAAACAAAGAAAAAAGTACTGAACTGTTACATAATATAAGTTCTCCTATATGGCAGTGAATGCTGGACAATCTTCTCACAGATGAAGGGGAGACTTGAATCCAAAGAAAAATGGTGTTATAGAAGCTTACTGAGAATACCATGGGCTGAACATGTGAACAATGACATGGTTTTAGAAACAAAAAGATAATATAGCTAGCAAGCTTGGGTAAATGGATGATGGAAGAAGGTTTAGGTGAGATAGCAAAAAGATAAAATTTATTAAGAGCTACAAAAGACAGAAAATGTGGAGAGCCATGTTTGCCAACATCTTGAAGTTACATGGCACATAGAAGAATACATGTAGTTCCAATGTGACTGTTATCGAGTAAGATAGTGATTTTCAATGTTATTTTGTGGACCTGGTTGTCAGAGCTCTTGAAGTTGGACAGTATTGTGCAGTGAGTATAAACTCCTTTCTTGAGTCAATTATACATTTTGAAAGGGGTTAATGTCATTAGTTACACACACGCACACTGGTCAAAACACACACATTACCGCAGTAGAGTTCAAGGATTTTTTCCTAACTCTGCTCAACTTTACATGTATGGGATTCCTGGATTGGTCACAAAATCATCCAATCACAGCCCATCTTCCTGCTAGCTCAGTATGATATGAAGCTCTTAGTCCCTTTTTGTCTCCAGAATGTGGACAGAACAAGGACACCTCTGTCCCTCTTCTAACACCATGAGCCTGACCTTTTCAAAAGCAGAACTTTCATCTTTCTATAACAAAAAATATTTACAAAAGACAAAAGTTTTGTATGTTGCCTATTGTTTCTCAATAGAATGTGATGTTTGGAATATTCCTATTCTTTTCTCAGACTTATCCATAATGTCCACTAACATCAATCATTGCTCAAAGTCTTTTGAGTAGTAACAGGTTTGTAACTTCAGACAAGACTCCAAATATTCCTTGCATAAACTAAAAAGAGGTCTTAATTAACAGTAACCAGTCATGGCCTTGAATTGTATCAACAATTATAAAGCTTAACCTTTCCTTTGAACCAAGAGAAAACATGCAGAATATTTCAATTGTAAACAAACAAGTACTTGAGGATTTAAATCAAAACGGTGTAATTTTTTTGTTTTTTAATAAAGCATTTATTAGTCTGGTCTTGTAAAACAAAATCACCACCAAAAATGAAATTAATGTATGTGGAATGTCCCAAGAAGGACCTAGTTAAGAATTTCAATAAATGATTATATAAACACAAAGGGATCTTTTATAAAACAACACCCAGTGCCTGAGTCATTCGTCATAAGAGGCTTTACCATTAATTTTGACTTGTCGAAAAATATATTGAAAGTGCACTAATTTCTGAGTCTTCCTCAGTATATTACATCTGGGATCACAGCTCCTTTCCAATGTGAAGGGTGACTTGGAAACATACAGTTCATTACTTTCTCTTCTCCCCGTCCCTCCCAAAAAATTATTTACCCACCACATCAGTGGCTGTAATATGAACTGATTTTAATGTGAGAAAATGCACTTCTACCAACTGGTTACGCTTTGAGTATGATACCACTCTCCACTGGATTTTATGTACACCCACCCCACCTCACCCAATTAACAATACCCAGGACTGTTATTGGTTAAAAGAGAAATCTGAGAAAATAATAAAACCTACAAATAATGAGATATTTATAATCCATTTGTAAATCAGTTCAATTCTTCATATCTTTTTGGCAAATTCATCAATAACTTTCCTATAAATCTGGCAGTAAAATTCTACAAACTTTTTCTCAATATCCACCAACTGCTTTTTAAAGTTCCCAACCTCACAAATACACAGTGAAATACCAAGCAAGCTTTTTTGAAGAATCAAAAACAGAATCTCCAAACCACTCGATATGGTTTCAGGAACCACTAATAAAAATTTAAACTGAAAATCTTTTTTGATTGTAACAAATCTCCTTACCTGTGATAATTCTGAAGCACTCCAATCCTCTGGATTTTCTAATACTAGAATTTTTTGTGACACACTGACTCATGTTGAAGTCTTCACAGTATTTAGTCTTGTTGAAGTTATCACTAATATTTTTTGTTGAGATTTACAAACTCTATATTTCGTTCAATTTCACAAACTAATTGATGAGATTTGAATTGATGAAATTTGAATTAGCTTATTTGTTTGGAAAAATACTTTGACAAAAACCCTACTTCACAGTTTAATAATTTCTTTAATTTAATTTTATTAGACTTCATGGTAAACAATATTAGGAAAATTTATTTTTTTCCTTTTTAACAGTGAAAAATATATTCTTAGGATTTCTTACTCTTGAGCTTGCAGAATACAACTGGCCATGCATAAATATTTTTTTTCTGGAGCTAAATTCCAACATTCTGAAGTGTTTGGCCTTGTGATTTGTTTATAGTTCTTACAAACATAGAACAAACTGGAAACTGGGTTCTTGTATGTAGAAAAACATATGCAAAAATCAATATTGCATTTTTATTAAATAATTGTTATTTTAATCATTAAATTGTTTTTAAAATAGTATTTTGTATGCTAAATAATAAAACTTTCAATATTTCCCCCCCAAAATGATGAAAATTTATTGTATTAAGCTATGCACACTCGTAAAACCAATTGTACATTATACCAACTTACCTGTTTGCATTTCTCTCCAAAATTTGGTTTCAATCAGTCAACATATGGCTATTTTGAAAGGATGTGATAAACTAACAAGTCACAACATTTTATATATAGATAGATATGGTTGAAAATAGCTCAGAAAATACATTAATTTTGTTGGAAAAAATGGATACTTGTTGAATGAATGTACAAAGATGACTTTTACACAAAAGATTTCCTTTATACTTGCTTACACTCTGTTCAAACACCCAGCCATTCCTCTCACTCCATCAGAAGTTTGTGATAAATTTTTGGCCAAAGCTGAATTCATTAAAATA